GATGTAGGGTGCAGTGCACGCACGCACACACACACACACACACACACACACCTTTCTGAGCTCTCAGTAGGAGCTCTGCAGTCTGCAGTGTCGTTAAAAGAAAAGCCATGGCTGCAGCATCACATTCCCCTGCTGTCTGTCTGTCAAGCTGAGGTCAAACTATCAAGGACAGGTGGCCGTGATTAAAGCATTTCCGGAACCTTTCAAAAGATTCACAAACTAGCAACAATACAAGAGAGAATTCCGCAGTCTACGGCTGTCCCAAATAGCACCCTAGTCACTATATAGTGCACTAGATCTACTTTTTTACCAGAGGCCATAGGGCTATACACTATAAAGGGAATAGGGTACCATGTGGAACGCAACCTTGTCTGTTATGATATGGAGTATGGCATGGCTTGGTCCCGCCACACCCAAGCTCACATTTTTCACAGCTGATAGATGGACTGCTGCAAGGCCTGAATCGATTGAGCCAGACATTAATGTACACACACACACACACACACACACGCGCACACACACACACACACACACACTAGCAGGTCTAGTAAGCCTACCTTGAGTTGTGAGAGGATGTGAGGATTCAGACGTTCCACTCCATTGCATTTTCCCAATTTGGCGCAAAACACATTTAACAAATGTTTGCTATAATAAATGTTTAGTTATCATCCTTTTGTTTTTCACGACATACCCCACAGTTGGTATACAACATATTAACAGCGAATATAAATGTTAAAATAGTTCTTCAGAGTTTAAAGTTACATTGTATCTTCGACCAGTACTCCCCACAGCGAATTGTTTGTGGTCTGATTTGGAAAAGCGCACGGGGACATCCACATAACATCCAAAATGTTTGCATGCTCACGTTCTATGTTGAAGGGTTTTTCTAATATCTTTATTAGTTGAATAGGTACTGTCAGTTCCAAAATTATTGACACCCTACCATAAAGATGAGCAAAAAAGACTGTATAAAATAAATAATACAAATACTGAGCTGTATTGTATGCTAAAAATATATATTTTTTTTTACTAATACACAGTGGTGTAAAGTACTTAAGTAAAAATACTTTAAAGTACTACTTAAGTAGTTTTTTGGGGTATCTGTACTTTACTATTTATATATTTTTATTACTTTTACTTCACTACATTCCTAAAGAAAATAATGAACATTTCCCCTGACACCCAAAAGTACTCGTAACATTTTTAAGGCTTAGAAGGACAGAAAGGACTCATTCAAGGTTTTTTCTTTATTTTTACTATTTTCTACATTGTAGAATAATAGTGTAAACATCAAAACTATGAAATAACACCTATGAAATCATGTAGTAACCAAAAAAAGTGTTAAACAATTCAAAATATATTTTATATTTGAGATTCTTGTAATAGCCACCGTTTTGCCTTGATGACAGATTTGCACACACTTGGCATTCTCTCAACCAGCTTCATGAAGTAGTCACCTGGAATTATAGTCCCACTAAGGAAGAATGCCAAAGGGGATGAATACTTTCGCAAGCCACTGTACAGTATAAGTTCTTTATGTCTGACAAGTAGTATGTAGCTGTGGCTTGGCGGCTTGGAGTATTGGTTCTTCATCCTATGTAATGTATTCTCAGTGAATTTGGTTGTTGTTTTTTTTCCGTTCAGAGAAATTAGTCATTGAAGTTGTTAGGTTTATGTCCCATCCTACAGTGTGTTGCAAAAGTATTCACCCCCCTTGGCGTTTTTCCTGTTTTGTTGCATTACAACCTGTAATTTAAATGGATTTTTATTTAGATTTCATGTAATGGACAAAATAGTTGAAATTGGTGAAGTGAAATGAAAAAAATAACTAATAAATAAATAACGGAAAAGTGGTGCGTGCATATGTATTCACCCCCTTTGCTATGAAGCCCCTAAATAAGCTCTGGTGCAACCAATTACCTTCAGAAGTCACATAATTAGTTAAATAAAGTCCACCTGTGTGCAATCTAAGTGTCACATGATCTGTCACATGATCTCAGTATATATACACCTGTTCTGAAAGGCCCCAGAGTCTGCAACACCACTATGCAAGGGGCACCACCAAGCAAGCGGCACCATGAAGACCAAGGAGCTCTCCAAACAGGTCAGGGACAAAGTTGTGGAGAAGTACAGATCAGGGTTGGGTTATGAAAAATATCTGAAACTTTGAACATCCCACGGAGCACCATTAAAACCATTATTAAAAAATTGAAAGAATTAGGCACCACAACAAACCTGCCAAGAGAGGGCCGCCCACCAAAACTCACGGACCAGGCAAGGAGGGCATTAATCAGAGGGGCAACAAAGAGACCAAAGATAACCCTGAAGGAGCTGCAAAGCTCCACAGCGGAGATTGGAGTATCTGTCCATATGACCACTTTAAGCCATACACTCCACAGAGCTGGACTTTACGGAAGAGTGGCCAGGAAAAAGCCATTGCTTAAAGAAACAAATAAGCAAACACGTTTGGTGTTCACCAAAAGGCATGTGGGAGACTCCCCAAATATATGGAAGAAGGTACTCTGGTCAGATGAGACTAAAATTGAGCTTTTTGGCCATCAAGGAAAACGCTATGTCTTGCGTAAACCCAACACCTCTCATCACCCCGAGAACACCATCCCCACAGTGAAGCATGGTGGTGGCAGCATCATGCTGTGGGGATGTTTTTCATCGGCAGGGACTGGGAAACTGGTCAGAATTGAAGGAATGACGGATGGCGCTAAATACAGGGAAATTCTTGAGGGAAACCTGTTTCAGTCTTCCAGAGATTTGAGACTGGGACGGAGGTTCACCTTCCAGCAGGACAATGACCCTAAACATACTGCTAAAGCAACACTTGAGTGGTTTAAGGGGAAACATTTAAATGTCTTGGAATGGCCTAGTCAAAGCCCAGACCTCAATCCAATTGAGAATCTGTGGTATGACTTAAAGATTGCTGTACACCAGCGGAACCCATCCAACTTGAAGGAGCTGGAGCAGTTCTGTCTTGAAGAATGGGCAAAAATCCCAGCTTATAGAGAAATACCCCAAGAGACTTGCAGCTGTAATTGCTGCAAAAGGTTGTTCTACAAATAGTTATGCATGCTGAAGTTTTCTGTTTTTTTGTCTTACTTCTTGTTTGCTTCACAATAAAAAATATTTAGCATCTTGAAAGTGGTAGGCATGTTGTGTAAATCAAATGATACAAACCCCCCCAAAATCATTTTTAATTCCGGGTTGTAAGGCAACAAAATAGGAAAAATGCCAAGGGGGGCGAATACTTTCGCAAGCCACTGTACCTCCTGATATTACCAGGTTGTTGTACATTGAAATGATAACTATTGAGAAGTATTAATTATAGTCTAGACTTTGGATAATCACAGTGTTAGGGGTTGGGCTTTTAACCTGGTGACTAATTTTCGAGGAGATGCTGGAGTGACATGCCAGGAATTATTGATGCTTTGTCAAAGTCCAAGCTCTGTGTTATGGGCGCTCTGCCTAGTTTAAGGAGCTCTGCCTAGTTTGAGGTGATCTGCCTAGTTTAAGGAGTTCTGCCTAGTTTGAGGAGCTCTGCCTAGTTTGAGGAGCTCTGCCTAGTTTGAGGAGCTCTGCCTAGTTTGAGGTGATCTGCCTAGTTTAAGGAGCTCTGCCTAGTTTGAGGTGGTCTGCCTAGTTTAAGGAGCTCTGCCTAGTTTGAGGTGGTCTGCCTAGTTTAAGGAGCTCTGCCTAGTTTAAGGAGCTCTGCCTAGTTTGAGGAGCTCTGCCTAGTTTGAGGAGCTCTGCCTAGTTTGAGGAGCTCTGCCTAGTTTGAGGTGGTCTGCCTAGTTTGAGGTGGTCTGCCTAGTTTGAGGTGGTCTGCCTTGGAAGCCAGTAGCTTCAGTGAATTGGCCGTTAGTTTACAACAGATGGACATCCTCAGGTAACCCTATCAGTATGTATGAGTGAGAGCTTGTGTGTGTGTGTGTGTGTGTGTGTGTGTGTGTGTGTGTGTGTGAGAGAGAGAGAGAGAGATAGCGAGAGACAGAGAAAGAGTGGGAGATAGCTAGAGTCACACATTACTAACCACCTCCACTACACTGTGATAAATAAACCAGAAACGTATGAAAACCCCGCTGACCAGTTAAGAACAGAAAACATCAAGTAGCCATAGACTCTCTGCCACTGTGAAGCTGTTTAGACTCATAGGATGTAGGAAGAAGGTTGTGGAGTGTCATGCTTCATGGCCAAACCCAAGCTTATACTGCTAGCTACTGTACAGTACATTATCCTGCACCATACTGCTATATACAATACATTATCCTGCACCATACTGCTATATACAGTACATTATCCTGCACCATACTGCTATATACAGTACATTATCCTGCACCATACTGCTATATACAGTACATTATCCTGCACCATACTGCTATATACAGTACATTATCCTGCACCATACTGCTATATACAGTACATTATCCTGCACCATACTGCTATATACAGTACAGTATCCTGCACCATACTGCTATATACAGTACATTATCCTGCACCATACTGCTATATACAGTACATTATCCTGCACCATACTGCTATATACAGTACATTATCCTGCACCATACTGCTATATGGCTTTCAAAAAGCTGCATAGCAAGTTTGTGTTTAGTTTGGTAACTTGGGCAATTAAGAAGTGATTGTTGATGCACTACCGTGGTTGTGTTGTCTGATACCAACGTTTATTTCTTACATTGTCTGAACTTTAAACAACATGAGGAATACAACATGCAGCCGTATTGCACTGGAATACAATAACACAAAATTACTATTAGAGAATAAATGAACACAGTGAGAGATTTAACAAACCAGCCAAACAGAAGACTGTACTGAGGTTGAAGGCTTCTTTATACTGCCAGTCACCAGAATTCAACAATGACCGCAGTAACAACTATTTTAGGAAAAACTCAAATTACAAATACATATCATGAATGTAAAGCAAAGGATTAACACGTCTTTTAGAAACACTCTCTGGGAAATGTTCCAATCTCTTATTTCTTGGTTGGTGCAGTCATGAGGTCCTCCAGACAGGAAGCACTCTCAAACCTGAAGCCTTCTATGATCACAGTGTCTCCATCCTCCTCGACGCTGGCATCCCAAATCCTAACCTCCTGGTCCCGCCGTCACAACATCAATACAAAACATAACATGTAGCAAATATATACATAACATGGCGGTGTCATTTTCCTAATTGAAAACAGTCAATCAATGATGTACATGTATGTACAGTGTCACATCCTAATAGCAGTGGATTCTGGGTACCCAGGAGAATGGTTAGTAAAATACAGCAGAACATACTAGAACACGAATGTCTCTACCTTGCCCTGGTTGTCCTGCTGGTTTGAACATTCTTTGAGCATCCTCTCAATAGCATGCATTAACCGCTGAGCCTGACTCATCACTGCACTGACACACAGTCACGGGGGGGGGTCACATCATGCAACACAGAATCAATACATTATCATCACAGAACTATTTTGGACAACAGCATGGCACCTATCTCCATATATCTGAAGTTATTTTCTTTTTTTAAACATTTTGATCTGTCTGCATATTTCAAATATGAAACCTATTTAAAATATGAGACATTGGAACCGAATTCTGGGACAATTCTGAATGCCGTTAAAAAAACAAATGTAACATCTTCCAAAAGACACCGGTCAGGTTCCAGTATCTCAGGGACTCTATTAGTGCGGTTATTCAGATGTAGTTCTACTCACATTCCTGGGGCTGGAAGTGGCTGAACTGCAGTCTCTCCTCACATCCCATCTCCATGACCTTAGCCACTTCCTCCATCGCCACCTCATAGGACTTCCTCATAGCACCTTGCAGGTTCCTGTATTTGGGCTACCACCGAAAAAAACAACAACACTGATTTTGTTTCTCAGACACAGATTAAGCCTAGTTTTGGACTGAAAACACTTTCATTAGAGATTCTCCACTGAGAGGTTTTTTTTTCTAGTTTAGGACCTGGCGAAATCCATGTCTGGGAAAACCAGCCCCAACATTGTTTCATATGTTTTTTTAAATCCTTCCAAGATACAGTATGTCTCGTCATATCACTGAATCTTTCATCTCTATTCGCCTTCACTAACTAACATTAAAAGTTGTCACACAAATAAAAAAAGATAAGATACTTTGGCGAACGACGTGTGGTAGAGTTCTACATGCTTAGCAGCAGCCCAGTATCTGGTGTGAGGTCTCCCCAGGAACTCAACGTGGTAGTGCTCCACATAACCTTCGCTGCCCAGCCTCACGTACTCCTCCACGTTGGGGTCTGGACTCAAGATGGCTGGCCACCTGGAGAGAGTTAACGCTTTATGGCTGACACTGGTATGGCTGAATTCAACAGAGATAACTGTGGTAGCTAAGGGCCGGTTTCCAAGGAACTAGATTAAACCTACACTACCAGTCAAAAGTTTGGACACCTACTCATTCAAGGGTTTTTCTTTATTTTTTACAATTTTCTACATTGTAGAAATAACAGTGAATAGTCAAAACTATGAAATAACACATATGGAATCATGTAGTAACCAAAAAAGTGTTAAACAAATCAAAATATATGTTATATTTGAGATTCTTCAAAGTAGCCACCCTTTGCCTTGATGACAACTTTGCACACGCTTGGCATTCTCTCAACCAGCTTCATGAGGAATGCTTTTCCAACAGTCTTGAAGGAGTTCCTACATATGCTGAGAACTTGTTGGCTGCTTTTCCTTCACTCTGCGGTCCAACTCATCCCAAACCATCTCATTTGGGTTGAGGTCGGGTGATTGTGGAGGCCAGTTCATCTGATGCAGCACTCCATCACTCTCCTTCTTGGACAAATAGCCCTTACACAGCCTGGAGGTGTGTTTTGGGTCATTGTCCTGTTGAAAAACAAACGATAGTCCCACTAAGCGCAAACCAGATGGGATGGCGTATCGCTGCAGAATGCTGTGGTAGCTATGCTGGTTAAGTGTGCCTTGAATTCTAAATAACTCACTTACAGTGTCACCAGCAAAGCACCCCCACACCATCACACCTCCTCCTCCATGCTTCACGGTGGGAACCACACATGCAGAGATCATCCGTTCACATAGTCTGCGTCTCACAAAGACACGGCGGTTGGAACCAAAAACCTCAAATTTGGACTCATCAGACCAAAGGACAGATTTCCACTGGTCTAATGTCCATTGCTCATGTTTCTTGGTCCAAGCAAGTATCTTCTTCTTATTGGTGTCATTCAGTAGTGGTTTCTTTTCAGCAATTCGACCATGAAGGCCTGATTCGCACAGTCTCCTCTGAACAGTTGATGTTGAGATGAGTCTGTTACTTGAACTCTGTGAAGCATTTATTTGGGCTGCAATCTGAGGTGCAGTTAACTCTAATGAACTTATCCTCTGCAGCAGAGGTAACTCTGGGTCTTACTTTCCTGTGGCGGTCCTCATGAGAGCCAGTTTCATCATAGCGCTTGATGGTTTTTGCCACTGCACTTGAAGAAACTTTCAAAGTTCTTGACATTTTCCGTATTGACTGACATTTATGTCTTAAAGTAATGATGGAGTGTTGTTTCTCTTTGCTTATTTGAGCTGTTCTTGTCATAATATGGACTTGGTCTTGTACCAAACAGGGCTATCTTCTGTATACCCCCCTACCTTGTCACAGCACACTGATTGGCTCAAACGCATTAAGAAGGAAAGAAATTCCACAAATTAACTTTTAACAAGGCACACCTGTTAATTGAAATGCATTCCAGGTGACTACTTCATGAAGCTGGTTGAGAGAATGCCAAGAGTGTGCAAAGCTGTCATCAAGGCAAAGGGTGGCTACTTTGAAGAATCTCAAATATAAAATATGTTTTTATTTGTTTAACACTTTTTTGGTTACTACATGATTCCATATGTGTTATTTCATAGTTTTGACGTCTTCACTATTATTCTACAATGTAGAAAATAGTAAAAATTAAGAAAAACCCTGGAATGAGTAGGTGTGTCCAAACTGTATTTCTGGACCGAAAAGCCCTTTCAGGCCTAGGCTTGATCTGAGTCCGGGAAATCGGCACATAAGCACCAACAGTCAACCATCCCGTACCATGGCCATTTGCATGCTTTCACCAGCACCAGGCTCCCGACAGGCAGCAGGGAGCACACAACCTTCAGGCCATGTTCCTTGAACTGGGAATTATTGGGGAAAGGGCCCTGAGGGATGCTGCAGTGGCTGAAGATAGGGTCTGGGTTCATATGACAGTACCAGGGCTTGCCATGGTCCAGCTCAGCCCTAGCTTCATCACCCTTTGGTACCAGTCTCCACTTCAGGCATCTGGGGGACTCGCACTGGACCCAGGTCTTGTCTGCATTGTAGGATGTTTCATCCTCATTGGCATTCAGGTCAGGAAGAAGACTCATTTTTTTTTTACAGCTGAACTGAGAGATCTTGGCTGACCTAATCAAGCAAACACAAACATATTGGCTAGCTAGCCCCATCTGATATTGTCATAGAGAAAATAAATAATTAGCGTCAGCGGTCTAGAACGTATTTGCTAAGAAGGAATGAATGGCCTTTGCTAACGATCCACACACATTTAGATCGTCATGATTCTAGCTAGCAAACGTTAGCCAACTAGCTAACAACATTCTAGCTTTGGATAAAATCATTCTTATTAGCAGTGCACCTAGCTAACGTCCCTCTTTGTTCAAGTCGTTTCAAAAGGTATTCATAGGTACTTACTGGCTGGCTAGCAATCCCCGAATAAATGTATTTAACCTTACACAGATTGAATCCCTAGTGTGTATCACTACTACTAGCTAATTTAGCTAGCTAGCTCGCCAACTTTTAATTTTCCTAGTTACCCAGCCAGGTAAAATAATCGAGTGTCGAACTTTGTGGGGCGAGGTCAGCGGAAGCCCGAGTCCAGAATGCATTTCATGTCATGAAAGAATATTATGAATACACATGCTATTGTTTCTATAATCTCTAAACCATAGTTTGGAAGCTTTTCAAATATTATGGTATTCATCCGAGTAACATAGCTAGCTACAACCAGATTAATAGTTTTTTAAAGTCGAGGATGACGTCGGGGCTTTTATTTTGAAAATCACATCACCCCGGAAGTTTTAAAAGTGTCATTTCACAAAACGGTGGATGTTTCCTGGTTCATGGTTAATGACACATTTATTTTATATCGAAAATATATAAAATAACGATTTACTACAGATAAATATTTGGCGTCACAGTCGTCCCGTGAGTTGGTACCAAACCATGCTCGATAGATACACAACGTGATATCTTCGAAAACAACATCAACGAGGTAAAATAAGCTAACGCGGCTAGCTAGTATCAATTGATCATCAGCTGGCTGCGTGTTTTTGTGTTGTTTAGGTGCCAGTTAACTGCTAACGCTGTCATCGCAAACTGGCTCACGGTTGTAAGGTCTAGATGACCAATTTAGCACGCAAGATAACACATCAGTCTTTAGTTTGGGTTGATCCATATTGAATAATGGCCTGTCCCAAGTTGCTAACTAGCTATGCTAACGTCCTTCGAAATGCTGATGTTTTGATTTTGCTTTGTGTGGTGGAAAAGGGACGTGTTTATTTGATGACAACCTGATATGTTTACTAATTGTTCTAACTAATAATAATTGATGGTGGTTTGAATAATCGATAGATTGATTTCAACAAGTGTCATGACATACTACATTGGTTTTGGTTTCTCTTTGATGCAACAGTTCCTTAGCTCTCACTTCCGTTATCGTGTTACGTTGGGACACACCATCAGGAGTCTTTGTATTGGGAGTCCAATACACAGACTCCCGATGTTGTGTCCCAGGCTGGTTATCGCGGTGTCTTACACACGCTGCCAAGCCCAATGTAGAGCAGGTTATCGTGGTGTCTTACACACGTAGCAAAGCCCAATGTAGAGCAGGTTATCGTGGTGTCTTACACTCGTAGCAAAGCCCAATGTAGAGCAGGTTATCGTGGTGTCTTACACACGTAGCCAAGCCCAATGTAGAGCAGGTTATCGTGGTGTCTTACACACGCAGCAAAGCCCAATATAGAGCAGGTTATCATGGTGTCTTACACACGTAGCAAAGATAAGAAAGAGACGAAGAGTTCAACTGACGCCTCCTATTTATTTTACTACCCAGACCTTTTCTCTGCATTTTCAAAGGTCAACTCGTAGCTAGAATCTCAATCCTTGACTTGTAGTACAACTGGCATGGACCACAATGATTGTCATTCTAAAATATGCTGGAAATAAATAATTTTTTTCCCAAATATATGCTACTCTGTGTCAGACTTGTTGCATTGTCTTAGTGCTGTATAACTGACTCGTCGGTCTACCTCTTGCTCTCTGCTAGCTAGGCCTGGTATGGAGCCTGGCATGGAGGCAATGGAGGACGATATCTGCATCCTGAAGCACGAGACTGCATATGGTGGAGCAGGGGAGAGCCCCGTGTCTGTATGTGCGGGGGATGAGTCTGTGGCCTCCCACTTTGCCCTGGTCACGGCATACGAGGACATTAAGAAGAGGCTGAGGGACACGGAGAGAGAGAACACGCTGCTGAGGAAGAGAGTCAAACAACTGGAGGATAAGGTACAGCATGAGGGGGGGGCTTCATTAGACACAACAGTCAGCACACTCGGCACCCAAAATAGGTTGAAATACTGCTCTGCTCTAAGAACTTCATACATACCTTGATACAGCAAGTAAGTTCTCAGCAGTAGCAGTAAAATAAAAAGTTATTATCCCGATAGGGTAATATATTTTTTTTGGGACAGATAAAACCTCAGATGGTCAAAGTACATCTAGCACTATTGCCATGAGTTGTTCTCACAATAAGATCAATGTCACTATCAATGTGTTGAGCTAATCATGAGATTCAACAGCTGTGTGTTGTAACCTGTAGCTGTGTCGTAACCGATGATGTATGGTTGTAACCTGTAGCTGTGTGGTAACCGGTGATGTATGGTTGTAACCTGTAGCTGTGTCGTAACCTGTAGCTGTATGGTTGTAACCTGTAGCTGTGTGTTGTAACCTGTAGCTGTGTCGTAACCTGTAGATGTATGGTTGTAACCTGTAGCTGTGTCGTAACCGATGATGTATGGTTGTAACCTGTAGCTGTGTCGTAACCGGTGATGTATGGTTGTAACCTGTAGCTGTGTCGTAACCGATGATGTATGGTTGTAACCTGTAGCTGTGTCGTAACCGATGATGTATGGTTGTAACCTGTAGCTGTGTCGTAACCTGTAGCTGTATGGTTGTAACCTGTAGCTGTGTCGTAACCGATGATGTATGGTTGTAACCTGTAGCTGTGTCGTAACCGATGATGTATGGTTGTAACCTGTAGCTGTGTCGTAACCGGTGATGTATGGTTGTAACCTGTAGCTGTGTCGTAACCGATGATGTATGGTTGTAACCTGTAGCTGTGTCGTAACCGATGATGTATGGTTGTAACCTGTAGCTGTGTCGTAACCTGTAGCTGTATGGTTGTAACCTGTAGCTGTGTCGTAACCGATGATGTATGGTTGTAACCTGTAGCTGTGTCGTAACCGGTGATGTATGGTTGTAACCTGTAGCTGTGTCGTAACCGATGATGTATGGTTGTAACCTGTAGCTGTGTCGTAACCGATGATGTATGGTTGTAACCTGTAGCTGTGTCGTAACCTGTAGCTGTATGGTTGTAACCTGTAGCTGTGTCGTAACCTGTAGCTGTATGGTTGTAACCTGTAGCTGTATGGTTGTAACCTGTAGCTGTGTCGTAACCGGTGATGTATGGTTGTAACCTGTAGCTGTGTCGTAACCGATGATGTATGGTTGTAACCTGTAGCTGTTCAGGCCTGAAGCCCCTTCCCCTGAAGGACCCCAGTATGTCAACAAGGCCTTCAGTGCCTACCGTGGCATCTACATCCAGAAGGAGGACCTGCAACTGGAGCTTCATAAACTGGTATGTACAGTCTAGTTGGTAGGTACAGTCTAGTTGGTATGTACAGTCTAGTTGGTATGTACAGTCTAGTTGGTAGGTACAGTCCAGTTGGTATGTACAGTCTAGTTGGTATGTACAGTCTAGTTGGTATGTACAGTCCAGTTGGTATGTACAGTCCAGTTGGTATGTACAGTCTCGTTGGTAGGTACAGTCTCGTTGGTAGGTACAGTCTAGTTGGTAGGTACAGTCTAGTTGGTAGGTACAGTCTAGTTGGTAGGTACAGTCTAGTTGGTATGTACAGTCTAGTTGGTATGTACAGTCTAGTTGGTAGGTACAGTCCAGTTGGTATGTACAGTCTAGTTGGTATGTACAGTCTAGTTGGTATGTACAGTCTAGTTGGTATGTACAGTCTAGTTGGTATGTACAGTCTAGTTGGTATGTACAGTCTAGTTGGTATGTACAGTCTAGTTGGTATGTACAGTCTAGTTGGTATGTACAGTCTCGTTGGTAGGTACAGTCTCGTTGGTAGGTACAGTCTAGTTGGTATGTACAGTCTAGTTGGTATGTACAGTCCACTAGATCCTGATCCAGCTGGTATGGACAGTCCACTAGATCCTGATCCAGCTGGTATGTACAGTCCACTAGGTCCAGTTGGTATGGACAGTCCACTAGGTTCAGCTGGTATGTACAGTCCACTAGGTCCAGCTGGTATGGACAGTCCACTAGATCCTGGTCCAGCTGGTATGGACAGTCCACTAGATCCTGATCCAGCTGGTATGGACAGTCCAGCTGGAATGGACAGTCCTCTAGGTCCAGTTGGTATGTACAGTCCAGTTGGTATGTACAGTCCACTAGATCCTGATCCAGCTGGTATGTACAGTCCACTATGTCCAGCTGGTATGGACAGTCCACTAGATCCTGATCCAGCTGGAATGGACAGTCCACTAGATCCTGATCCAGCTGGTATGGACAGTCCACTGAGCTCATCAAGTTATGGTGGTTACTAACTTCATCATCTCTTCAGCGTCTACTGTTTTCTCCTTATGAAGCTATTAACCAATACATGTATTGATGACACGGCTGTTAGGTTCATATCTGAGATGTTATGTTAGCAGCACAGGTCTGACTGTCTACTTCCTATACTCCAGCCAATCAATGACTCTTCCTGTCTATATCCTGTCTCTTTGTAACTGTCTTTCCTACTGCTTCACTGACTCATCATCTCTTTATCCTGTCTCTTTGTAACTGTCTTTCCTACTGCTTCACTGACTCATCATCTCTTTATCCTGTCTCCTTGTGTCTTTCCTACTGCTTCACTGACTCATCATCTCTTTATCCTGTCTCTTTGTAACTGTCTTTCCTACTGCTTCACTGACTCATCATCTCTTTATCCTGTCTCTTTGTAACTGTCTTTCCTACTGCTTCACTGACTGTTCATCTCTTTGTAACTGTTTCTTCTACTGCTTCAATGACTCTTCCTGTCTCTTTGTAACTGTTTCTCCTACTGCTTCACTGACTCTTCCTCTCTTTCATATACTAATTATCTTTCTTTAACTCTGTTTCTCTAGAAGAGGGAGAAGAGTGAGTCTGAGAGGCGCCTTAATGAGCAGCTGCAGGCCAAAGAGATGGAGCTGCTGCAGTTAAAGACAGAGATGGAGACCAGCCAAGGTACTTTAATGACCAGGGACTTAACCTCAGCCAAGGTACTTTAATCACCAGGGACTTAACCTCAGCCAAGGTACTTTAATCACCAGGGACTTAACCTCAGCCAAGGTACTTTAATGACCAGGGACTTAACCTCAGCCAAGGTACTTTAATCACCAGGGACTTAACCTCAGCCAAGGTACTTTAATCACCAGGGACTTAACCTCAGCCAAGGTACTTTAATCACCAGGGACTTAACCTCAGCCAAGGTACTTTAATTACCAGGGACTTAACCTCAGCCAAGGTACTTTAATCACCAGGGACTTAACCTCAGCCAAGGTACTTTAATGACCAGGGACTTAACCTCAGCCAAGGTACTTTAATCACCAGGGACTTAACCTCAGCCAAGGTACTTTGATGACCAGGGACTTAACCTCAGCCAAGGTACTTTAATGACCAGGGACTTAACCTCAGCCAAGGTACTTTAATGACCAGGGACTTAACCTCAGCCAAGGTACTTTGATGACCAGGGACTTAACCTCAGCCAAGGTACTTTAATGACCAGGGACTTAACCTCAGCCAAGGTACTTTGATGACCAGGGACTTAACCTCAGCCAAGGTACTTTGATGACCAGATACTTCACCTCAGCCAAGGTACTTTGATGACCAGGAACTTAACCTCAGCCAAGGTACTTTGATGACCAAGGACTTATCCTCAGCCATGGTACTTTGATGACCAGGGACTTAACCTCAGCCAAGGTACTTTGATGACCAGAGACTTAACCTCAGCCAAGGTACTTTAATCACCAGGGACTTAACCTCAGCCAAGGTACTTTAATTACCAGGGACTTAACCTCAGCCAAGGTACTTTAATTACCAGGGACTTAACCTCAGCCAAGGTACTTTAATTACCAGGGACTTAACCTCAGCCAAGGTACTTTAATCACCCGGGACTTAACCTCAGCCAAGGTACTTTAATTACCAGGGACTTAACCTCAGCCAAGGTACTTTGATGACCAGGGACTTAACCTCAACCAAGGTACTTTAATCACCAGGGACTTAACCTCAGCCAAGGTACTTTAATTACCAGGGACTTAACCTCAGCCAAGGTACTTTAATTACCAGGGACTTAACCTCAGCCAAGGGACAGTATCATCACCAGGTTTTCCTCTTATTCTCACCAACAGACTGACAGGAAGTGTCATCTTGACCAGGCAGGGACTTTCCCTTACGCTCAGCCAAGGTGTGATGACCAGGAATGTCCCTAATGTCCAGCTAAGGGACAGTTGATGCCCATGACCTTTTACTGAGCCTAGAAGCACAACTCCCAATGTGCCCACTATCCCACAGAAAAGCTAGAGTGTTTATCGTTCAACCTCCCTACCCTGATGTTCAACGTTTCTCCCATCCTAGCAGAGATACAGAAGTGGAGTGGGACTGATGTCAAGTGACACGGAAGTGACAAAGTGTATGTAACTATGCATGTTCTCTCCCTGCACAGTGATGAAGTCTCTAACCAGTACTCAGGACGACTGGCAGGTGGACAGGGTCAACAGTGAACTGAAGATCCACACTCTGCAGGAGGAGTTGGAGAGGATGACTCGGGAGAAAAACCGACTGCAGGAGCATTGTGGGGTAAGACTATGGGAATATAGAACCACAAGTGTGTTTCATTCACAAAAGTCCCGATGAAGGTCTGTTGACCAAAACCCGATGAAGGTCTGTTGACCAAAACCTTTGTTTGAGGTCCATGATGACACATTGTGGAGCAACAAGAATTCCAGTGTAGTGTGCTGGGCTTTCATTTCCAGACATGGTATGTGAACTACGCTCTTTTTCTAGGGTTTTATTTATAACCCTTTTGAAGCCGTATGTCCTCCTCTTCCTAGGATTCTTCTGGAACTGACTGTGACCAGAATGACATGGAGTCTAACCCCAGGTATGTCCTTCATCTCCCCAGATTGGTGCTTCAGGTTTGACCCCAGAGAAGATCTCACTAAATTGCAGCAGAATGAGACCCATTTGAAACACCTGTCGTAGTGTAGATGCTATGACCAGCCACCAGGAGGAGACAAAGCTTTGTTTACCTCAGAGCCAGGTAGCACTATGTCTGTAGTTTACCTAGCACAGGCCAGAGACTCCACTAATGTGCAGCGATCATA